TTGGTTTGTTCAGCCTGCAGAAAAGAGTGGTTTTTTGCTGTCTGTGACCAGCTAAAAGAGTTAGAGGAGAAATGGAGCCAGGCTCCTCTCAGAAGTGCACAGTGAACGAATGAGAGGCGACCATCACCAATTTCTGTGGGAGAAACTGGCTGGACGTAGGGACAAAATTCTGCCCCATGAGAAGGGTTAAACACCAGGAGGAAGAGACCAGAGAGACTGCGAATCTCCATGCTTGCAGATTTTCAAACCTTGGCTGGAGGCCCCGAGCAGCCTGATCTAACGTTGAAGTTAGCCCTGCTTTTGAGCAGGAGGTTGGACTGGAAACCTCTGGAGGTCCCTTCCAAGCTGGATCAGTGTATTATTCAAGCAACACTATGAATGCTGATTCCCGACTTCCAGAGTTCTTTGACTTGCTCTGACAGAAAATACTGAAGTCTGTGCTTGCTGCCGTTACACATCAGTGTTGACTCAGTGGCCACAGTGTGCTTCTGAGCTACTACAATTATTTCTCATCCTAGTATATGGGGATTGTGCAGTTGTGCATTTGAGATCACTCTTTGCTAGGTGTGGATAGCCTTTGGCCTCACTGCTGTCCTTAATGGCAGGTGCTATGTAAGATGGCTCAAATGCCTTTTAATTTTGATGTACAACAAGCTCTGTAAAGCAGAGATGAATATGGTAGAAGATAGCAACCAGAGAAACTGGGTCGTTCTAGCAACGGGCAAGAGGATGGTTTATGCTACTTCTCCAAACGTAGAGTCGTTTAATTTCCCCGCACTGCTTCTTCTGAAGTGCGTGTTCAAAACACTGCTGGTGAACTGAAAAAATCCAAAACTTGCTATAATGTGCTGAAAATTATTAAAACTGATATGGAAATGTTGTAGCTTGTAAGGTTTTTCTGTTCTTAATTGTTCAAAGTAATAAAATCCTAATAAGTGATACAAATAATTAGAAGTGAAGGGCTTCTGTCTCTCTGAGGACTCCAGATAACTTTGTAATAAATGAGTGGAAAAATAGTAGATACTATTTAAATACAAAATCCCTATTTTTTTAAAGTTTAGTATTCAAGAGGGAGGGAGACAGTTGCCTTTTAAGATGTGAAAAGCTTTTTATGGTTAGGAAAGGTGCTAGCAATATAAATACATTCAACCCCCAACACGTAGTTTTCTTTCTAGAATGCACCTTTTTCTTGATTTGTTCTTTATACCGTAAGCAGAGGAGCAGCATCCGCAATAAAAAATAGAAATCCAAAAATAAGGGGTTTTCTCCTAAATTAAGGTTCTCTAACTGGAGGAATCACTACTAACTTGAGGAACAGCAGTACTTTCTTGCAGAGCAGTATTTGTGTTGTACTCTGACCTGTTACTGCTTTGTGCAGCCTGTCTCCCACTCATCTAGCTCCTTTTGCACATTAGGGTTTGAAATCAGAAAAGGCGAAGAACAACTAGTTGAAATGATATGCCCAAGTTGAGTGATGAGTTGGTGACACAACAGTAAATAAATCTCTATGATCTTCAAAGTTGAAAGTATTTTTATCATACATTTGGGTCTCTTGCATAATACGAGTGATGGTGTGTTACTAGCCGGGTGGGGGCATAAAATTCTGGTCTTGATCTAAACTTTGCCAATGATAGACATAATCCCCGTTATGACTTAAATTTAAAAAGTCTTATTTCTTTCTAGTCTTGCTCTCAGTGCTCACCTTATTTTTCTTGGCTGCGCGTGGCATTGGCTGTGCTCTCGGCTGACCCACCATGGTGATTTTCCAAGCGCCTTTGTAACCTCACTGTTTCTCAAGATAGTTGACCATCTTGTTAACATGGCCCAGATGGATACTTGGACTTGAAATAAAGCCAATTGTAAACTACTTCTGCTTTCGCTTCCAAGTAGTCAACAGAGCTGTCATCATTATTACTGCTCTTCCTATTAACTTGCTGCTTCCCTTCCTTTTCCATCCCTCTCTGTCACTCTTCGTCTCCCTGCTTCTGGAGAGCAAAGTCTTTGTGATGACAGTGTAGTTATTTGCTGAAAATGAGTTTTAAGAACTGATCTTTCCCAGGATAGTAGGGTGAAGCACAAGCTTGTCAAGGTTTTTCTTGTAACAGTTCCATTGTTAGATCTATCTGTAGTGTATTTTTAATTTTGTGCATTTTTTTGTAGATATCTTTGCATCATTTTAGTTCCTTATGCTACTGCTCTATGGTAGGTTATCCAGCACACAAATTAGACAAATGTTTTAATCTCATATCTTGTATTCTGAAATATAATCTGGGGTGCTGCTTTATAGCTTGCTTGCTCCCAGGACTTAAATCGTCTTTCTGTAAGTAAAACAACAGAAGGGAAAAATGTTTTGGTGTTTTGTTTTTTTTTTTTAGCATAACGTTTATGCTTGTTGCCACCTAAACCAATTGGACACTTTACCTTGACTTCCATGAACTTGGATTGAGCCTGTGGTTACTTTCCAGACCCAAACTGTTCTGAACATTAAAGCTTTGCTCTTGCGCTCTCTCTTGATAATTGGTGGTAATGGGAAATGAAGTATTGGAAAAGAAAACAGTGGTTAAGTGAGGCTTTACTGGAGTGAGGCTGCCTTAAGTTAAAAGGCTCCAAGTGTGCATAAAGTTGAAACTTGCCTGTGTTATTTACCTGTAGAGTTCAATCACTGGGAAAGTGGCATTTATCAAGGACATAACTTCCAGCTTGTCTGACTGCAAATATGAAGTGTCAGAAAGGCCATCAAAAAAATCACCCGACAAACCCCACCAAAAAAAAAAAGCAGCTTTTTCCAGAAGAAGAAAGTTCAGTGCATAAGAGTATGGGGGTTTGGGGTTTGTTTTGTTTGGGTTTTGTTTTTGTTTTTGTATTTTTTTTAAAGTACAACAAATGATTGACTGTTCCTTTTGCTTTAAATTTTTGTTGCTTGTGTTTTAGACAATACTTTCCCTGTATGTCTTGGAACCTTTTTAATGTCATTTTCTTGCTTGCTTTCAGTTCTTCCCTCACTGTATTTTCATCTCTCAGCTTCTCAGTTTGACAAATGTTGTTCCTGATCTTGTTCTTGCTTTGGTGAAATTGCTGACAGCTTTCAGGGCAGTGATGAACGCCTGCAACTCCCCTGAAGTGACTGGGGGGATTAAAGCGCCTTTGGAATTGGGAAATTTGGGGTACGTCTCTACCTGCCAAAGGAAGAAGATAAAAATTAGCACTTAACACTTCTGCCAAAGGTTTCCAAGCTGTGTCTGCATGCCTGCTGAGCCTTCTCTATTTGTATGTACTCTGGCATGTCAGCTTTTTGGGGAGAAGCAAATTCGGTTTTTTGCTTCATCTGTGGTGTGGTTTTGTGATGTGTTATGGCCAAACTTCCATAACTGTTCACAAATAGATAGTGGGAGGAAAGAGGATGGATAGTGCTTTGTGTCAAGCAATAGGAACCCTGTAAATGCTGTTGAAGTTGCAGCGTTGGTGGGCTTAGGAGGAGCCTGTTCAGTCCTCTGTGATTAATACTGTGACACAAATTCTTTCTCAAGACAGCTCTATCCTAAAGACTGGCAGCAAGTGCACGCTCTCATCTTCCATGCAGAGAAAAGACTTTCATAGTTAGGGACTTCTTGGCAAAATTTTTTGGGAGGAAGGAAAAAGTGCAGCTTCCTCTTAGAAACCATTCTTAATTTAAAAAGCCTGACTGCCCCAAAGCTATTTCAGGGTCATTCTTGACTTGGAGGCAAGCAAAGTAATACATTGTTGATAGATGTTCTTTCAGTATAGTTAATATTTACTGGTATTAGGGGACCAGACCTTAGCTTGGCTGTCTATTTACTGTATCTCCTTGCTTTTCATTTTTAATGCTTAGCCGACAGGTTTGCTATAAACTTAAATCCTGAAGTGCAAGCAAATATCTTATTTCACTAACAGTATCTTCAGTTATTAGGGAATGATTTCTTTTTTTTTTTTAAGTCTCTGTATGCAAAATGCTGTTTCCAGTTTCTTACAACATCAGCACTGAGATTGTGGAAACTGCAGAGGGATGCCATTATTTTTTTTTTCTTTTTTTTAGTAACTGTGGAAGTGCTCTGTTAAATAGTTAGAAAAACAAGTAAACTGGGAGAGGTGCAAATTGATAGTGTTGCTTTCATGCACTGATTTGTCATTCCTGGTGTCTTTTGTCCAAGTCTTTTTTTAGGATATAAATGGAAATTAGGTTCCTCAGTCTAGTGCCCACTGGATGGTGGTCACTGTTGAAGTGCTGGTCACTGTTGAAGTGCATCAGCAGAGAAATGTTACCTATGGCCTGTTTACGTTACTGCGTGTCCAGATCTCTGTTACTCTGTTGCTTGTATAAAGTTATTTTCCTTAATTTGAGCCTTAATAATCGAGCGTTAAAAAACCCCCCACACTCTTTAGAGTTCAAAAGTACCTTTGAACTAGCAATAGCTTTCATTAATCTAACGGCTGTGTTTATTTGAATACTGTAGTTACATGACATAGCAGCTATGTAGGCTAGAAGGTGAGGCCTCCTAAGCTTTTTCAGCTATGTAATGAAATCAGTTTAGGCAAATAAAATTTAAGCCATTTTCTCCCGTTTATAGAATTGGGAATAATGTTTTCTTGGTGTTTCTGTAATGTAAAGAACAAAGACAATCAAACATCATTGTCAATATCTTTTTCTAACACTTCTCTACTTGATAATCCTCTTATTTTGTGATAAACTGTGCTTTGATTTTTATTTAATGAACTGTGTTTTAACTAACTTGTTTTATACGTATGCTCAAAATATTTGAAGACTGCTCATTAAATCTCAGTTGTTCGGATACTGGACCCTTTTTATATATTGAATTTTCTTTTAGGAATAGAAATAAAGAAATACTATTTAAACGTTTTCTGCTTTAAAAGGGTTTATGGATAGAATCAACATGGTATTCAGATACTTGCCTAATCAAAGAGAAAAGTCCTGAGAGAGGAATGAATTAACCTTTAAAACTTGTCACGTGTTCTCCTTCCAGGTGTCAGCGGTGGACTCCTTGGAGGGTCCCCTTCTTCAGGTGGAGGGATTGAGTGATCTGAGACTGGAGCTCCACAGTAAGAAGATGAACATGCACTTAGTCCTGATAGATGAATTACACCGTCATCTTTACATCAAATCAACTAACCGAGTAGGACAACGCAACAAGGAGAAAGGGAGAATAAGGTGGGTTTGGTGTGATGTTGAGGGCAACAGGTCTGGGAGGGAAGAGGACAACATTCTCCCTTTCATAAGTAGAAACTTTCTTGGGAGAGTGCCATCGACTTACACCTCAACCTTTCATTTTTGGCAAGCAAATTTCTCATGCTTACGGCTGTGGAGAGCAGAAAAACTCCAAATATGCTGATGCACGTTCAAGCCTGTGAACAGTCTGTTCTTGTTCTTTCACTTTTGCTTAGTGATTCTGTTGGTTTTTTGCTGCTTCCCACAGAATTACGATGAGGTCAGTTCCTTTTAGCATTCTTTTCCTTCTTTGATGTGTATACCTTTTCTACAAATGTCGTGCTCATGAGGCTCAGGTCAGGCAAAGGGAAGAACACAGGGAAAAATTGCTCATCTTTTATAACAAACATCCAAGGTCTAAAAGACTTTCAGCTACCCGTAAGGTTACTAGCCCGAGACCGCAATATTGAAGTGCCTGAGCAGTGTCTTGGCTGTGTTGTGTTTCTAAGGTGTTTTAAAGTTGTTGAAACTTCTTACCTGGTTGGTGCCTCTGGTCGGTGGAAATTCAGCTTAAGTATAAGTGCCTGGCTATTTTTTCCTAACTTTGCGAATTCTAGGTTTGAGGGCAATAGAGTTGTTGGGAGGGAAGGAAGGAAGATAGTGGCTAGAAAAGAGACACACAGTATTGGAAGATAACTTTTGTAGAGTAGGAGAGGTAATAAACAGGGACGGGGAGCAACAGGGGAGCCAGCATATGATGAAGATGCAGAGAAAAGATAAATTAGCATTTTATTATGAGAAGGAATAAAAAATGAGTACCAGAAATAAGAGGAGAGAGAATGAGTTATGTTAAATGAATTTATGAAATGAAGGATTGATTGAAGTTGAAATTTCTAGGAAGGAGGGTTGCTAGCAAGTCATCAGTCTCTTCCTTACTCATCCTGTTAATTAAAAACAGACACAAAGCTTTGGTGTACCCAGCCTATGCGACTGCTAATTAACTGCAGTTTTGTACGATTGCTACAGGGACCCTTATCTCTTTCTTGTTTTCTATCTTTTTTCACATTCCCTGTTGCACATCATTGATATTTGATAACGTGAACTCTTGCATCAAGGACATTATTGTTGCTTTGTTTTAGTGTGCTGCCCTAGACTGGCTGTTGACCAGGATGCAATAATGTTTATAATTATTTCTTGTGTTGGTTTTAAGTGTGTTCTGTCTAACATTGCTAAGATGGAACGCATAGCTAATCCCTGTAAGTGTGGTATCGTAGGTGTTTAGGGAGTATAGGTGGTTCTTATGCAGGATAGTAAGCTTAGCCCTTGTCTTTGCACATTTCTATAAGCATTTTGACCTCTAAGGGAACATGCTCAATTCCATTATAGGAGCCTTCTCCACTTCTTTCTCTTAAAAATGATTTCTTGCTTGCGTTCCCCTGCCACATCCAGCTTCGTGCCTTTCATTATGCCGCTGGGGCAGCATGACACATTTTTGGCAAATACTACTATGTGAATTTATTATGAAAATGACCGAGTAGAAAGTCTTTCCTCTCTGAGTGAGAAGGTTCTTTTGGAGAGGAATGCGTGTAGGTGTGCACAGAACAGGAATTTGAAGGGGAGGAAAAAGGGTGGAGGTTTCTAGTGGGAACTAGAAAAGCTTGAAAGATTAAGTAGTTGACAGAAGCCATGGCAGCGGGAGCATCTCTTCTCCTCAGTATGTAGTTTTCCAGAAAGATCTTAACAATTCCATGTTAATTTATCATCGTGCTAGCAGTAGTTAATTGTGCTGGATGTGAGTGTGTCTGTTGGGAAATAATCACGTGCTACGGCAAGCTCCAACATGCCTGTGTCCTGATCGTGTTGCTGTGACCAGTCAGACAAGTCTAGAGTGCTATTAAATTCAGAGAGACCTTGGGATACCAAATTTTGTCTTTGATATGACAGTGTTCCCTCATCATTGCTTTTTTGGCTTTTTCCCTTTTCACTTAAATGTGTATATATACGCACCCATTCGTATTAATCTGTGGACTTGTGCTTTAAGTTAGGTTCTGTAAGCCTTTTGTATCAAAACTGTGTGTTGTGTATATCTATTGCTTAAGCTTACAAATTTAAGAAATAAATGGATTATTTGTTGTGAACTAAGATTGTAAATAATAGTAAACTGTTTGCTTTAATTCTTTCTGCTCACACAGTTCACTTGTGAAAGATGCCTCTCCTGTACCTCTTATGGATGTTACTAACTTGTCTACACCTCGAAAGTTCCTCGAAACTTCCCAGTTCAGTACTCCTGGAAGCTCCAGCAGTGAGTATTTAAGTCACATGCATTCCTCACAGAATTAATTTGTAGATCTTCAGCTGATTTTACAGGAGCAGTAGTAGGCGTATCATCCCCTCTTCATGGATGGCTGCTGATGAGACGTCCTGAGACAAAAAGTTAGGAAGTTATTTGTGCAATGTTATGAAATGAGTGAGTGCTATGTCCAGGGGCAGAACTTGGCCATATCTGCATTTTTCTTTTGGCAAATCATCCTTCCCCCCTCCTCCCCCCACATCAGCTTCAGTTAAATGCACTTAGTTTTCTGCGCCTGTTCTGATGTTGATCATGTTCTTGATTTCTTGGGCAGAAGAGATATTTGCAGTCAGTTCGGTTTGCATAGAGGTCTCCTCTACATTATTTAATGTAGGCAGGCAGGTATGTGTAGATGTTGCAGAAGTTTTTTTGCTGTGTTGGAGCCAAAAGGTCAAAGCTTTTCCTTGTGGGAACTTTGTAACTTTGACTAACGGTCTGTCTACACACAGGAGTAGTCTAGTGGTGATCTTTGCATACCTGTTACTGCAACAAACACTGAGCAAAACACTCAGTGTCACTGGTGCTTTTGTATGAGGCTTTGGAAGTGCTGCACAGATGGGGAATTAATCCTTGTATTGTTTCAGTAGATTAATAAGTGGGGTTGTCCTTGTTTAACAAATGAATAATACAGAAGTGACCTACATCTCTTCCCCCCTTTCCTTTCAAAACTTGACTGTTTCAGTATTCCTCAACTGCAGAGAATCTTTCCTTCTCTTCTCATCCTTATTAATTCTTTTGTCCTTATTTTTGTCTGCTTGTTTCTGGTTTTTCTTGTCATGCTTGCCTCCTAGACTCTTTTGTTTGATCATTCTTATCTTTGCTCTTGTAGGAGTTTTTGTTATTTAGGCTTGCTCCTGTAGGGTTGGCTAGTCTCTCAGGGCCTGAGGCTGTAGTTCTACATAGTGGAGGTTTGTGAGGAGTCACTTGTGACATGCCAGTGCAAACTTTCAGAGCTGGAAACTGCAGCTTGGTCCTGGAAACCTGGAAGAGAACCACTCTGAAAATTCTGGGGAAAAAACTTAAGAATTCCTGTTCTGTCTCTGTGATCAGTGAGAAGTTCAGTTCAATTTCTTGCTAAAGATCACATGATTTTGGGGAGCTGAGGAAATAAACCACAAAAAACTGAATCCCAGTCTCACCACTGTAAATGTTAACCTACTTCCTTTTCGGTGAGTTAGTTGTATAGTGTATTTGAATGAAGGTTCTAGGGTACAAGCAACAGGTAAGAACCACAGCAGTGGTCTCTAAGAACTAAGTTGTTTATGAACATAAACGGCATCACTCCTTTCACTCCAAATGCCTGAAAAGAAAGGCTCTGATGGCTTCTTCCTCAACTCTAGTAAATCAGTATAGGTCAGTTGAGAATCTGCCTTAAAAATTCACGCTTCTGCAGATCTGTTCTTGCTCTTTGTGCCCAGTGCACCAGAAAATCATAGAATCATAGACTAGTTTGGGTTGGAAGGGACCTCTAAAGGTCATCTAGTCCAACCCCCCTGCCATGGGCAGGGACATCTTCAACTAGAGCAGGTTGCTCAGAGCCCCGTCCAACCTGACCTGGAATGTTTCCAGGGATGGGGCATCCACCACCTCTCTGGGCAACCTGGGCCAGTGCTTCACCACCCTCAAAATGTCTTACCTGGCTCCTCGTTACACTCTGTATTATTCAGTGAAGTGCTGGGCAAGTGTCCCTCAGACTGGGAAAGATGTAGTTTATAATAGAAAACATTTGATCAGCATAACGAATGCATATGGTTTTGCTTCAAGTGCACAATGTACTTATGTATATTTTTTCCACATAATTTTATTTAAAAGTAGCCTTTTCCAGGACTGCGGAACTACCAGAGAATTTAAAATCTACGTGTATGCATAACAAAAGCTGTTTCTGTCTTTTATCATTTAAGTTCTTTGGCTTTTTATTGATGAAACAAAGTGGCTGTGCATATTAATGCATGTCACTATAAAGCACTGACTCGTTCAACCCATCTCAGCAAAGATGCCAAAATTCTGAGTCCTTTCTGCATTCACTTCCCAAAGGAGATGTTACCTTGTGCTGCAGAATCTTTATAAGGAAATTAAAGCTGTTCCTGCTGTGCTTAAAATAAACAAAACCTTCAGTAACGTTCACCTGAAGATTGTAGATACGTCAGTTTACCAGTAACATTTTCTCTTCGTGCCAGTTCAGAGAAATAAATTCACTTTTAAATTATTTCTCTGCTTGAACTTTTTGTACTCCGAAGAGTATTTATGAAGGTTCCTGCATTGCCAGACTCTTCCTGGAACTATAAAACGTGCTCATCCAGTACATAGCAAACCCAAGAGCACCCTTTCCTGAAAAATTCTCCAGAATACTTTTTAGAAATCCGACAAAGATGAGCTGAGGTGGTGACAATGAGTATTGTTATTGATGGCATATGTAAACTTTATGCTGAACAGATAATATACTTCAATGACACATACTTCTCAGCTCTAAGAGAAAAATGTAACTTCTAGATCCAAGCAGTATGGTGGCTTCTAAGGTCAAGTCTAGTTACTGCTCCTGGCTCTGTTTCTTCAAGAACGCAAGTACTTCTGTGTAGGTGAAAACATGTGGAGACCTGTGAACTTGGCCCTGCAAAATACCTGCAGGATCCAGAGCTTTTGGGTCCAACTTTAAAGGTGGCTCTAAAAATGCCATTATGGCATTCTCTGTTTGTTGTCACAGTTGCTTCCACTTCAAACACGCTCAACAAATACATAAAAGATATTTTTTTCCTATTAACCTCACCTGAGGATCTGACACCAGCTGGGTGATTTTTCTGTATCATTTGTACTAAAAACTAAATGATCCCCTCACTAAACCAGAGTTTTCCTGTTTTAGCTGTTTTGCATTTGTACAAATCCAACTGAGGACTTGATCGGAAGGTGATGGGAATCCAGCGGCGAGTCTGATCTCTCCCGCTATCATTGCAGTGCTGCACAAAAAGCAGTTTGTTTTTATCTCAGGGTAAATTTTTGTGCCTAGAATGTTTAAGAGGAAGTCTGTTCCTGCAGTTTAAGAAGGGTTTGCAACTACACAATAAACGTGAAAGTCTATGAAGTAACTTTTTGTGTGTCTGTTTTTGCAGGACCATGATTTTTCTCACCGATCCTCACTAATGGTTCGTGTTCTGACTTGATGCTAAGCACTGATGTGTGTAATCTGTGTGTGAGTTTGGGGAAGGGAAGGGAAAATTGAGGAAATTTTAGATCCTTATGATGAAGGCCAGAAGGGTAATGCTTAGTCACTCTTCTGTATAATTTCATTAGTTGTTATTATACGTGGTCCCAACGTAAGATATTTGACTACTGTGCGCTTATTTTTTTATTTGGAGACTCAGTTTTCATGCTTGTGTGTATTAGGATTTTGAACGTGGCTTACAGAGTTGCTTCATACAGTTTTCTTGGAACGAAATGTTGTTACAATGGATTTGAAAGAGTGGCCCTGTCAAATTAAAATGCCTCTGTTTTTGAAAGACTAACATCCTTAAAACTATAGATGGAACTGTGTGAACAGTTTTAGAAAGAGGAGATTTGCCTTGAGCCTATGAATTTATTGATCTCTGAGACCCATTTTCTTCTGGGCTTGGTAGTAAGGCAGAGAAGAAAATTACCCAAATTTTTAAAGGACCCATTTCTAAAGTAACTGTCCATTTGTTGCTCATTGTCTCCATGCATGGGTCAGAACAAGGATTCAGCACCAGAAATTAGCACATGACGTTTCCTCAAATCTTAAATTATGCCTTTGGGGCATTATGAACTTGCATCCTTTTCACTAGAAGGATTGAAGGCAGAAAGGGTATAATCAGAAAGGACGTAAATCATGGAAAATAGAACGTTAAATTTTACTAGTTGCCCATAAAAGCACACAGCTAATGAAATCTTCTGTAATAAGTAGAAGCAAATTTTGACCATTCATTGGAATGAAAAACAAGACCCAAGAGTCTTTTCTTTAGCTGCTTTGCTTAAATGAGTTATCAACATCGGCTTTTCTGGGGATCAGGCTGGAGCTATTAAAATGCCTCCTGCGGCAGGTTTGTTTCTTGTGAAATGGCAGAACTGTACAAATGTACATTGGAACAGGCTGCCTGGGGAAGTGGTTGAGTCACCATCCCTGGAAGTATTTAAAAGACGTGTAGATGCGGCGCTGAGGGACATGGTTTAGTGGGCATGGTGGTGTTGGGTTGACGGTTGGACTCGATAATCTTAGAGGTCTTTTCCAACCTTAATGATTCTATGATTCTGTGATTCTAAATGAGGGTATCGTCAGTTGGAACAGATGTTTTTATAGGACATCGTCAAACCAGGGAGCCGTCGGGGAAATTTCCACCTTTGTAACTATGGAGGTGATGAATCAATGATGCACATGATTCAACTTTCTAGTCGTTTAAACTGAGGGTAGATTTTTGACTGCTTAAACATGGATTTGTGCGTTTTCAGATGCACCGCTTCAGTGATGAAAAAATTTTTGAAAATGGCTGCATATTTCATTAGAGAATGTGGCAAAGTCATCACTCCTTTAGGTTGTTGTCTTGGGAGGCTTTTGAGAAACCATATTTAAATGTTCTTCTTCATAAGTGGTTGTCAGAGATCATTAGAACAAGAAAATCATCAGGAGTAGTCAGCATGGCTTCACCAAGGGGAATTCATGCTTGACCAACTTTATAAATTTCTACTATGAAATGACTGGCCTGGTAGATGGGGGGAGAGCAGTGAATGTTGTCTACCTGCTCTTCAGTAAGGCCTTTGACACTGTCTTCCATAAGATCCCGGTAGAGAAACGGTTGATGTACAGGCTGGATGAGCAGACAGTGAGGTGGATTGAAAACTGACTGAACGGCTGGGCACAGAGGGCGTTGATCAGCGGCACAAAGTCCAGTTGGAGGCCGGTAACTAGCAGTGTACCCCAGGGTACACCTGGGGGTCCTACTGGGTTCAGTTCTGTTCAACATCTTCATTACTGATCTGGATGATGAAGCAGAGTGTACCCTCAGCAAGTTTGCAGATGACACCAAACTGGGAGGAGTGGCTGATACACCAGAAGGTCGTGCTGCCATCCAGATGGACCTGGACAAGCTGGAGAAACAGACTGACAGGAACCTCATGAAGTTCAACCAGAGGAATTGCAAAGTCCTGCCTCTGGAGAGGAACAACCCCAGGCACTGGGACATGTTCGGGATCATTGAGCTGGAAAGCAGCTTGGCAGAAAAGGACCTGGGGGTCCTGGTGGACACCAGGTTGAACATGAGCAGCCAGCACAGTACCCTTGCAACAAAGAAGCCTGGGGATATCTTGGGCTGCATTAGACAAAGTATTGCCAGCAGGTTGAGGGAGGTGATCTTTCCCCTGTACTTGGCACTGGTGAGGCCACACCTGGAGTACTGGCTCCGGTGCTGGGCTCTTCAGTATAAAAGAGATATGGACATACTGGAGAAAGTCCAGCAAAGGGTCATGAAGATGATTAAGGGGCTGGGGCATCTGTCCTAGGAGGAAAGGCAGAGAGAGCAGGGACTGCTCGGCCTGGAGAAGAGAAGGTTCAAGGGGGATCTTAATGTGTATAAATACCTGAAGGGAGAGTGCAAAGAGGACAGGGGCAGGCTCTGTTCAGTGGTGCCCAGTGCCAGGACCAAAAGCAACGGGCGCAAACTGAAACAGAGGTTCCCTCTGAACAACAGGAAACATTTGGGTTTTTTTTACTGTGAGGGTGACCGAGCACTGGCACAGGTTGCCCAGGGAGGTTATGGTATCTCTGTCCTTGGAGATACTCAAAAGCCACCTGGACACGGTCCTGGGCAACCGGCTCTGGGTGACCCTGCTTGGGCAGGGAGGTTGGACCAGACGGCCTCCAGAGCTCCCTTCCAACTTCAACTATTTTGTGTGATTCTGTGATTTGGTGTCATCTTTGAATGGAATTAAACCGTGAAAACCACTTGAAAACATGAAGTGGTCCTGAAAGTTAGGTTTCCAAAGAGGTCAGTTTAGCTAAAAAACATTTCAAGTTATGTGTGAAACTGATCTGGAAAAGCCTCGACCAGGCTTCATGCGGTCTAGTATTTCTATTGGTTTGCATGGTGCTATGTACAAGAGTTGATAGCTGAGATGGGACAACAAAGCAGTATGTTGAAGCTGATTTTTTAGCATAAAACTGCAAATTGAAGTTTTAAGGCTTCATTATGTTGGAGAAGGGCAACTGTAATAATTTAAGTCTTAAAATATTTATTTGCTGATGTCACATTTCATTTGTTACACACTCAAGGAGGGAGAGGAAATTTACCACTTGGTATTACTGAAGAAATCCTATGGAGTTCTTCTTTGGTGTTTTCTACCCGTATTATGTTTACTATAGTGAAGCTGTTCTTAATTAAAATAGGACTTTTTTCCTTCTATTCTCTTTGATGAATCACAGAGGAGAAGAGGTTAATCAAATCAAATCTAAATAGCAGACCCACAATTGAGAACCATTTATAAAAATAATCGTTGCAAACATCCATAGGATAAATTAATTTTTCATGGCTTCTCTACATAAAGCAAGTGCTTATGGCATGAATGATGATCTTTCCTCTTTAAAGGGATGTGTGTTTCTACCCGTGAATGTAGGAAGCTAGGAATCAGTTCTGACAGTCTCCTGCTTTTGTCTTGATACAAATGAGTAACAAAATTATTTAAGAGTAAATACAGGGGAAGCTTTCAATTCTGAGAGCTGATCTGTAGGGACATCTTCCTTCACCCGTGGAGCTCCTCTGCCCACAGAATAGCATGTGGGATTGCAATTTTAAAGGTGAACTTCTTTACAAATGCCTGTCTACTTTGATGCCTTCTTCGAAGAGGTGGGGGACAGGAGGGGCTCGTTCCTGGGCCAAAGCTTTGTGGTCAAATAAGCCTTTGATAGCATTAAATGGCAGAAGAGGATGTTTGAAGCGGGGAAGACGCAGGAAAAGGATATCTTCAGTTACCTGGGGTTGGGGTCTTGTCAGATCTTACAGATAAATGGGTCCCCAAAGCTACCCAGGATACCTGTTTAATAGGCAGAATGTGCAGGAAATACGGTCCCTACTGTTTTATCAAAAGACCAGCTCTAACAAAACTTACGTACCAGTGTGTTGCTACTAGATATTGAACTATTCACTTTGCTGTTGTTTGTAAGAGATGTAAATCAATGTCCTGGCTGTTTGAGGGTGTTCAAAATTGGTTTGCTCTTTTGAAAATGGAAGAGCATTCGTCTTCGTGTGCTGGCAGAGTTCTCAGCGAGATTGCTGCCTTTAGTCCCCTTAAATGCTGTCCTCACATCTGGATACAGCAATATTTCCTCCCTCTTGGGTTTTCATTGTGTAATATTAAGAATAATTTACAGCCTGCTTACAAAGGGGCTGCAGCGTAATGACGGGGACCTCTCCTCTAAAAGGTTGTTTAGGCTGTGAAATCTTTGCATTAAACTTGGAGCAACAAGATATTTGGGTTTTTTTTAAACAATAAGTTAAAACCTTTCTTTCTCTAGCATTTCCAGTGTTGTCTTTTCCACAGCTCTTGTTCCAAAGAGCTCATTTTCTGTGTTTGTGCCTGGCATGCTGTGTTTTTTTGAGAACAACAAGTAGCATTAACAGAGTGGGTAGACCACATACGCAGCGGACAAAGTGCTTTGCAGCCTCGTGGGTTGAAAGGTGTGCAATAGATGAGAGCTTTGAGCAGAAATATGTGTGCATCTGGTTGTTAATTTCTAATTGGTATTATTGCTTATGTGTGTTTGAAGTATCTCCTATATTATCCTTGCTTTTTTTTTAAAAAATCAATGCATTCCAGGTGTTTCTAGGTGTTTGTCTAAGCTAACCCCATAACTTGCCCAAATTACAAGTTTAAATAGACTTTAATTTGGAAAAAAGTGTGTGAGAGAGAGAGTAAAAAAACACTGTTTGACCCCCCTGATGTTGATTACCTAAAGCCTGATGTCATTCTCCATTGTGACATGTGATGACCTCACAGGATCCATTCTCACCTCGCTCTTACCTGGTAGTGTTGCTGGTGCTCTAGGCTGAAATGCAGGAGCGTGTGAATGATGAGTTTGGTTTGAGCTAGCGGTGCCGTGTTTGGGATTACACTGACGGAAAGAAACAATCTCTGTTGTGGAGGTTGGTGTAAGCTGACACTGAAATAAGTGTTATCTGTTTATCGTGATGCTATTTATGAAGTGGCACCTTACGGGCTCTTTGGGACATTGTTTTCTTGATCTTGTGCTAACTTACGCGGTGCTGATGCTCTTCTGTTCAGAGTGTCATAGCTTTAGACAGCTACAGGGCTGCATGCTCCTTGTGACATGCCATTTTTCATTTCTGCCATGTCATTTAAATCCTTCTGGTGGATCTTTTGACATTTATTCAGGTTCTTGGATAAGTTTTGATTTAAGTAAAAAAATCTGTTGAGCAGTAGAAACCACGGGAGTCATCTGTCAACCAACAGCCCTTATCAGAGTTAAGTACCAGTAAGATGAAACAGCCGTTAGGTTTTAATTTCTGTGCAAGGGTATGGTATGGTGGATGGCACAGCTTCAGCCGGGTACTTTAGTGCTGTTTGTCCATGTACTGCCACTCCGGCTGTTGACAAGCCGCATGACTGTAGACCTTCCGAGATGCTTTAGTTGAGTTTGCCTTGAAGACAGTTACTTCACATAAGTGTTTGAATATATTTATTAAATGTTTCACCCAGTCTTTAAGAGAGACATTCTTTTGTTGTTGCTGGGTGTTATATGTAAATTAAGAAATGCTGATTAATGAACATACTTAAAACAAGCATAGTACCTCTTGCCTTTCTCTTCCTTGTCACTTAGCAACAGAATTTCTCCCTGTGCAATCCCTGTGACTTCAGGAGGACTGTATCTACAATATCCTCCCTAATTCTTTTAGCTTTTCCTTTCTAGAAGCTTTGCTAAAAGATTTGAGTAACTTCATCAGCCTCTTGACAGATGTAATAAAGCAGAATAGGATAACATCAAACAATCATTCACTTTGGCAGTATAAACTTCGCCAAATTCATCAGAAGTCTGTTAAGCTTGATAGTGTTGATAATGAAAATTCCTCTCTTGTGAAAAATATAGCGAAGAAAAACAGCTAGGTTAGAAATTTAGGGCTTTTAGCTCCTTGAAACACATTTGGGGGATTTGTAGTGATATAATTCCTTCTCATTTACAGATATCTTGATTGCACCAGACTTACTCTGTTCCCTAACTAATATGTAACTTATACCATGATCTCTGTTTCTAAATCAATCAAATGCACAGGCTGTTGTGTTTATGTATCGGGAACCCCCCAAGCAAACAAATATCCACTGTTTCCCCCCAAAATCTGAGTGCTGCTGGTTTCCTTGTTTATTCCTTGGTTGCTCAAAGTAGTAGGAGTTCTGTGAAGGCAAAGGAGTTAATATGCTGCTTCTGCATGGTACTAAGTGTTGGTTTTAATAGTTTAAATCTTGGATTATCCTTTTTAAATCTATTCCAGTGCGAGAAACAAGCCTTCTGGAAATTAAAGAAGATACGGAACTGGATCCAGAGGAGAACAGCACTGTCTTCATGGGCATACTCATCAAAGGGTTGGCCAAGCTGAAAAAAATCCCTGAAACAGTGAAAGCCATCCAGGATCGCTTAGAACAAGAACTCAAGCAGATTGTTAAGCGGTCCACAACCCAGGTGGCAGACAATGGTTACCAGAGAGGGGAGAATCTGTCCCAGGAAAATCAGCCTAGGTAAGGATATTTCAACTGTTGAACCTTGATTGCTGCAAAAAAAAGTCTGGAGAAGGGTGTCATATCTGTTAGGTTCAATTTGAAGGAATGACAGTAATGTTTTTGCAGTAGCAGAGATCTGAAATGGTAAAATTTTCAGAAATGCCTGTCTCTCACTGAAAGACTGGTGTGCCTTGAGCACCTGAAAGGCTTGGGAATTTAAGAAATGTATTCAGAAAGGGGAGGCATTGTTGCTTCTCGGCTAAAGATGTGGGAAAGGGAGATGCTTCCTTCTGGGCTTGGCCCTAGAAGAGAATCTTTTGGCTAAACAGATGTTTGAAATGCAGATTTGAGGGTGGAAGCGCAGTAGAAGCCAGCATTATTTAACTAGCAAGAGGTGCATAATGTTAAGCACTTGAATTTTTTTTTTTTAACCTAACCTTTCGTTTTAAGTACCTTTACAACAGATTGAATTGTAATGCTGTCTCAGATTGCTGGTATATATGGTGTAAAGAATACTTGGTGCCAAAACAAACACTATCTTCTTGTGTTGCACTGAATCATGGCTTTACACTGGTGCTGATGCCAAAGAAATTTTTAAGTTCCTATGTAATATGACTTGAAAAGAGAAGATTCAGCTCAGTTATTTATTTCAAGTGTAGCAGAGTCCAATTAAGCTGATGCAGGTGCAAAGCTTTGAAATCATATATGGAACTAATTATATCAGTAAATATATGGCCAAGTTTCTAATTGGTTTGCAGCCCCATTTACATTAATAGCAAGGTGTGGAAGCCAATTGAGCGCTATGTTCCCGCTGTTCTTCAGGATTCACTAGAACTGTTCTTTGGAAAATAGGACTCCATAAGGGCTAGCTATCACTTCTAGCTGAAATATTAATTTGTGATACTGCCCGTTGTAATGATCACCGTCTGAAGGGAATTAATGGTGGAAAAGAAAAATGAAAACAACAACGTGTGTCTTCATTACATGTAATATTTGTAGTGGAAAATCTCTCCCAGGAAAAACTTTAGCTTGATAAAGACTTCTTTTTGAATTCCTATCATTATCATTGCTGTGGAAACAATTATATTTTGAAGAATTCATAGAGTAATGGTACTGATAACTTGGTGAAATTACAACAAGCTTTTTGGGTGGGTCAGAAGGCAGAATTTTAGTTTCTGATGCCAAGAAGGAGCATAGCATATGCTTGATACTTGTTTTATGAACCAGTCTTGAGAGATTGTATGGCTACTGGTTGTCCATTGAAATTGATAAATTGGATCAGATCATATTTTAATGACATTAACCTTTCCAGAGGGTTGGGTAAGTTTAATGGGTTTTGGCATGTGTTTAATAGGAGTTTGTGAGCCTTTAAGATGCTTATATTCTAGAGCTATGGAAAGTGTCTTGAATTCTTGTTGAATAAGGAGATAATTAGAACTGATTCTAAACCTAAATCGCATGTGAAGTTTACAGCAAGCAGGTGAATTCATTTATATTGAAAAGAATAAATTAGAGTATGGAAAGGTATACCACCCCTTAAATTAGCTACAGTTTTAAATCAAAACTAAACAACTTTCCTGCTTTCAAAAAAAAAATAAATCTGAACAACATGGTCCTCCTATTTCAAGAGAGCTCTGTAAGACCCCAAATTTGAGCACGATGCAGTGCCCGAAAGTGCTTAACTATTCATTAGGCTGTCAGCCACAATGCTTACTTGACCTCAGGATTCAGTGAGTAAAATGTTTTTCAGTTCACCTTAAAACTAGTCACACTTGGATGCCTCTTAGTCTCTATCACTGAGCTCACGTATGCAGCTACTGTACTTTAACTGATATCTATAAAAATTGTCACTTCTGGCAAATAAAATGACTAGTAAGATGACAGAGAGGCCTGCAGGGTCTGAGGCCGTAGACTGAACCTTTTGCTGGACAAGTTCCCTGCGGCTCGTTCGGTATGCACAGAACAAGTTGTATGCGTTTCTTCATTGCCGTGTGGTGGCTCTCAAAGGTTGGCTCTTATTTTTTCCGTACGAAAAGGATGGCGTTGCCCTCCACTTGAGGATTAGGATGATGATCTGCTTGTGGAGGTTCTGGTGTGACACCTTTTGGGACCCCGTGTAACAATTATGTAGAGCCCTCTCATTGTACAAGAGACAAATAATTTCTAGAATCTGGCCAGGAAAGTTGCAGATCTGATAACGGTCTTTTGAGTCTGAACAGAGCAGGCACTGATCTTGCATTCATCTTTTTTGGGGGGTTGTTTGTTTGTTTTCCCCAGTTTGACTGCCTTTTGCCTCCTTACCTAGCAAGCGCTTCCATATCGATTTGTGTGGCCACCTTTTCCATTTGTGTATAGAAACACTATTAATTGCTCCCAAATTTTTAAGATCAAGAGTTTGTTTTTTTTTTGTTTTTGTTATGACTCTAAAGCAACCAGCTCCCAGGGAGTAATGATGTCTTTTATGCCCCTCCGGGTGCTGCCTTCATAGAGCCAACAGGCTGTGGGCTCTTGGGTCAGCTCTTCAGAGCTTCATGAAGTCTATTTTCTTACATGGAAGTCCTGCAGCCCCTCTAAGCCTGCCAGCAGCAAGTCTTGTCCATTCTATACAAGGTGTTTTGTTTCAGGCTTGTTAATTAGCATGTACATGAGAGTGAGCAGTGATTACAATGTTGATAATGTGTGGCCCATTCTGTCGTGGGTGTGTTGTCCTTTGATCTGAGCACTCAGTCTGGCTGAATAGAGAGTTGGTGTGAAATTGGAGGGGCTCATTTGCTGAAGATGGCACTAGCCTGCCTAAGGACCTCCATATAGCAGCAGAAGGATGTTTTTCACCAGTGGGGTCACAAAGAAAAGACTTGCATGGCTCTGTAACACAACTGATTTTTAGGTTTCCTAAAACATGCAACATGGATGCAGTCCTGTAGGATAACAGACTTGGAATAGGCCTAACTAGGAGGAACATCTTTGGCTGTCAGATACTTTGCTATGAATATAAACCCTCTTTACTAATGTGCACTTACCCTCATGAATGATATGAAGATGGTAAAACCTGGTAAAGGGCAGTAGTAGGTTCCTAGTAGTTCCCTGTCACTGGTGGAAGATAATTTTGAAAACTGTGCTTGAATCTCACCTAGTTGCAGCTGACCTTGGCTTTAATTTAAGTGGCCTTTTTTTAAAGTCTAGGTAAGTTTTCTAAAATTTTTAGATAGCTGGGTTTGGAACAAGTTTATGAAAAAGGGCTTAAATGTAGGAATTGCCATTGACTTTTCCTTAATGAGAGGCTCATTAGAGCATGCCTAGCACCTGCATGTTTAGAAATATGTATCTTGCGTTGTGGAGGACAAGGTATTGTAGAAGAGGCCATGTTACGTTAGCTTGGAGTACTGCTATATCTTAATGAACCTGCGGGTCTCTTCTGAATTATGGAAGGTGGTTGAATTTAGAAGAATAATAATCTGTATAAATGCCTACTTGAGGGCCAGATTTATGGGACAAGATTTTGGTAGGGATACATTGCCATAGCTTTACTTTTAGTTGAAAATCTGGCCCAGGAAAAGGAGGTGTATTGACAATTTTGTTACTAAATCCTATCTATTGGATTCAATGCACTTTTCCCTACATGTTCATAATACGCTTCCGGCTTTTTACCTCATCTCGAGGCTTTAGCCTACTTGAGGGCCAGATTTATGGGACAAGATTTTGGTAGGGATACATTGCCATAGCTTTACTTTTAGTTGAAAATCTGGCCCAGGAAAAGGAGGTGTATTGACAATTTTGTTACTAAATCCTATCTATTGGATTCAATGCACTTTTCCCTACATGTTCATAATACGCTTCCGGCTTTTTACCTCATCTCGAGGCTTTAAACTAAATACAGAAATTATATACATGCTCTATTATATTACAACACTCTATACAGCATCTATACAAGCATCTATACAACACTGACCAGGCAAAGGACATTATTGCTGCTAAAATTCATGAATTGTCATTAGTGACCTCATTCAGGTGTCAGCAGTCACTCTGCATCAATTCATTCTCCATTATTGCCCAGACAACAGAAGTTGCTTCCGGGTGTGTGTCACTGTCTCTCAACGTATTTACCATATTTCTCGGTGAAGGGGTTATGAGATTGCTTTGACAAATTGCCTAAGCTGGTCTCCTGTCATTCTTTGTATGTGTTCTGCTTAGGTCACTCAGTGCTGCAACCGCATATGCATAAAATCTAGGTCATATTATTTTATGCTGTTTTGTCTTGTCGGCTGTCTGACACAGACTGTGTCCGTGTCTCTTTTGGGTCACCTTGTTTCAAAAATGACCTGACAGATTTAGAAGACTTTTAGAGAAAAGAAAATTAAGATAAGAGGTGCTGGCTAATTTGAAAACAGGGAGATGTGGAAATATGATGTTAGTTGAGAGTGGAAAATGTAATGGGGTGGTAGTTAGTGCCACTGAAGAACGTGGATTGGGGAGATTTCATGTCTATCGGTCTGTAACATGAGAATAGGAAGATATTGGCATTTAAACCCAAATAATTCTGTTCAGTATAATATTATTTCAGTAATGGCTCCATAAACAAGTTGATAATGTGAGGTGAGGCTCACTTAGGGACAATAAAAATGAATTTGTCAAACTATCCAGCTAGTTCAGTTCTGCAACATTGTACTTTCCTGGAGCAACAAGGAGGTAGATAGAGAACGAAATTTTCATTTGTAATGGGATGTTAGTAGAAGTTGGGCTCGCACTGATAAATTTTCTCAGTGGTATATAATTAATTTGCTCCCATGTTGTTGTCTTTTTTGGCATTTCAGCCAAGGCTGTATGTAAGTTCTTCCAACATGAAATTCCTCGTCTATCCAAATTCTTCTACATCTGGTTTTCCTCCTATTTTGGTCTGGCTTCTGGCTGACCAGCCACTTGCCCCAACTGCCTCTCTGTCACTTGCTATGAGAAGTTCTAGATATCTCTTAGGGGCTGTTGAAGCAATAGTTGCCTCTCCCATGTGCATGTTGTCATTAGCGTCAATATCCCATGTGCATATTGTCCTGCTCCATGTGCAGCGGGAGACATATGACTTAGTTGCCATCACAGAAACATGGTGGGGTGACTCTCACGACTGGAGTGCTGCAATGGATGGCTATAGACTCTTCAGAAGGGACAGGCGAGGAAGGAGAGGCGGTGGGGTGGCCCTGTATGTTAGGGAGTGTTTCGATTGTCTAGAGCTCAACGATTGTGATGATGATACGGTTGAGTGTTTATGGGTAAGGATGAGGGGGAAGGCCAACGAGGCAGATATCCTGCTGGGAGTCTGTTATAGACCACCCAACCAGGATGAAGGGG